CCCCCCCCGTCTCCTGGCGGATCCCACGGTCCCTCCGAGCCTCCGCTTGGCAGCGAGGGCGGCCCGAGATCGCGCCACCGAAACCCGGATTTTCTCTTCCTAAGGGGGACGAACTGTCACGCGCCCAGGGGGCTGAGAAACGCGGTATTTTTTTTAGGGGCTGGAAATTCCAGGCTGCCCTCTCTGGCTCTGTTCCGCCCCGTGGAGAGAGGAGAAACTCGGAAGGCAAAAGATTCCCCGCTTGTGTCCTAAAATTTCTTGAGCAATTGTGGAGAATATAGGGGCTGCCCTAGAAATTGAAATTCTCCTATTTCATGGCCGAGACACAATTCAGGAGCTTTAAAAAATGATTCCTTGAAGTAAAGGAATGAGTCCTATGCCACATAGCCCATTTATGAATTCATTTGCATGAGCCATCGCAATTATTTATTTATTTCTATTAATGTCCTCCAGCAGCAGCAAAATAACCTGAAAAAATGCTACCAAAATCCCCCACTGATGTCATAGATAGAGTACGGCTCTATCTGTGATGGCTGAACATTGGATGTGTTCCCAAAGAAAGCTTTATTACCACTCAAAGGACACTGCATGAAATCACCTTTTTTCAAGGTTACATTTCATATGTCCACAGAGTAGAAGATAATGCATGCAATTACATATTAACTCTGAATGGCTGCAATTAAACTTTATTTTCAGAGCCAAAATGGAGAGGCCTGTAACTCTAATAATCCATCATAAGGATCATCCACAGCAAGGTAAAAGGCATTATGAGAGAACCAAGCTGACTGTGTTTTACTCTGCACCAGACGTTTCCGAGATGAGTATCTTTTTATAATTTTGCATGCTTCAATGTTCCAGCATATGAAGCTACATTCAAGGCAGACATTTGCAGTATTTCATCATACGAAATACTATCTTAATGCAACTGACAGATTTTTTTTCTCCCAGCCAACTTCCTCCAAACTCACTTTCAAAAGAATTTTCTTGCTGCCCCTTAACTCCCATAGGTAACATGCCAGAGTGAGTCTGGGGAAACAAGTACCCCCATGCGTTTTGATGGACCCTTGTGGTAATAAAAGTGTTTTTCACACAATTTTATAATCACAAATTGGAAATTCAAATGTAGCTACAATGTTAACCCTAATTATTTGAAAATAAAAGTAATTGAAAAGGACTGCCTATAGAGAAGATATATATAGCATGAGGACATTCATGTGAAGTACCCTGTGAGTTCTTTCAGAGGACACCCATTACCGTACTCTTCAGAACAGTCCCAGTCACCTCTGTCAACAAAGCTATCTAGCCGAATTTTATGCCTATACATCAAGCTGCTTGTCAGTTAAAAACCAGTTATCTAAACTGGCACATAGGTTATTCAGCAGGCTCTTCATTCGATCAGAAAGTTTACTCACACGGGTCCCGGAGGAAACCAGTTAACATCCTGGGTGTGTCTGTCACAAAGATGATTGTTGAGATACGAACAGCACAAGGAAGAATTTTGCAAGTCTGTTGTTGTTTGGAAATTGTTGCTACGTGGTCTCCAGAGGATGGAACCATTTATTTAGGGAAGAGCAGTGATATTTTTGACAGTGAAATTGTGAAAGCCTCTCAAGCATTACAAATCTGGTCTTCAAACAAAATGTTACAGCTTTAGCATTATTTTTGCCTAAACTAACTTTGCTTTCTAGTCATGCCATACCAAATCATTTTTCTCTTTGTTGCTCAACTATTAAGTATCTCCTGCTTATCCAGCTGAGTAAACTGACTTCTGCAACTTGACTCCCCATGCCTTTTTATGAAGGGAGCCCACAGGGATTAAAGGTGTGTGCAAACTCAGAAAGAGTCTCTGGGTGAAGGGAACACCCTTTCAGTAACCCTGCCGGGTCCACATGCAAACTGGAAGGCCACCGCACCCACTTCTGGAGCCAGAAAACAAGCGAACATACATACACAGACAGATACTGCCGGGGCGCTGAGTTCTCCCACTCCCTACTTGGCTCCGCTTTCCGTGACAGACTCTTCGTTCTGCGTCCCACCTTCGCTTCGGCCGCTGAGTCGCCCCAGACTCCCCGCCGGGACGCTCCCGCTTCTGCAACCGCGACGTCGCACAACGGCAGCGGCGCACGTGCAGGGGAGCGCCTCGTGGCGGCC